TGGTATCGCTTATAATAAGAAAAAGCTGAAAACAGCTCAGATATCCAACAACAGTAACATGATAAATAAATTGTGGATTAGTCATGTAATGGAATATTCTACAGAAATAAAACAAAATGAAGGAAGCTTGCAGGTTAGTCATAAAATGAAATACACAACAGAAATAAAAATAAAGAGCTAGCGCTATGCACACAAAAATGGGTAAATCTCAAAACATAATATTGAATACAAGAAGTGAGTCACAGAATATGTCAGTATGATTGTATTACATAAGACTTAAAACTAAGCAAAACTAAATATGTTGTTTAAGTCTGCATGCATAGGCATTAAAACCATAAAGAAAGGCCAGAGCTTATTCCTGAGTAGGAGATATGATAGAGATACAGAGCATGTTTGAAGGTACTAATAGTAGTGCTCTATTAACCTGAGTGATGGGCACACACACGCTTGTATTTTTATTACTATTTAATCTGAACAGATATACTTATGTGCTTTTGTGTGCATGATATATTTCCAAATTAAAATAATTTAGACATAAGCAAAAGAGAAGTTAATTGTTGGGATAAGATCCTTGAGGCAATGCATCGGGATGGGCTTCAGCACACAAGTGAGCAGACATTTCTTAAATAGAAAGAAGGGCAGCTCCTCATCTGGGAGCAAAGCAGGAAGAAGGATGGATGAGAACGCATGCAGGTGTGATTTCAGGGGTGTGTTTGGAGTGGGAAGGTATGGGGAGATGCTTGATGGAATTCAGATCTGATGGACTCTTTTTAAGAATGTAGGAGGTGGGGGAGCCTCCTGGGAGTGAAGGGGTAGGTCTGGATAGAAGGCCTGGGGAGGGTAGTGAAGGCTTCGGAAAGTATTTCACAAAGTGGAGCAGCTACGCCACTGATGATACTCGAAGGCGATTTTGGGTACGCCTGTGGGTACGTAGTCAAAGTCATTTTTAAGATTGTAGTAGTTATGAGTTTATTTTAATGCAAAGGTTTTTAAAAATTTTAATAGTTTTGCTTTTGTTTTAACGCATATTAATAAAAAACAAACCTAATATTTTATGGATATTACTTATAAAGCAAAAGTGCTGCTTAAAAATTCAGTTAATTGGAAGGAAGGGATTCAGTAAATATTAGCTTAGGTGTTAACTTTGATATGGCAAAAACCCTGAAGGTGGTGCTCAAAAATTTGGGAAACTTTGATTTAAATAAGATAGCTAATAGGGCACCCGGGAAAAGAGGAGCACTGTGGGTAAAAAGACTGGTGAGTGGTACTAAGACCCCAGCCACCTGAAATCCCAGCTTTTAGCTGTGGCTCAGACCATAATTCTTCACTGAGAAGCCCCTATGCTTTCATGGGGTTGTTACCAGTAACCGCTGAAAAAATAAGATTTGCCAGAATCAAGATAAGAAATAAACTGGAGAGTAAAACAGTCCGTTCTTTTGGGGTTTTTTTTCAGTTTAAAACACAGACTTATTATTTTACAGTTCTGGAGGTCATCAGAAGTCTGACATGGATCTCACTGAGCTAAAATCAAGGTGTTGGCAGGGCAAACCTTTTCTGAAAACTCTAGGGGAGGATCTATTTCTTCGCATTTTCAGCTTCTAGAGGTCACCTACATTTCTTGGCCCGTGGCCCCTTCCATCTTCAAAGCCAGCAACGCCAGCTGAGTCCTTCTGTTGCCATTTCTCTGACTCTCTCTTGCCTCCTTATTCCCCTACTCCATTTTTTTTTTTGCTGCATGGCTTGCGGGATCTTAGTTCCCTGACCAGGGATGAAACCCGGGCCCCCAACAGTGGAAACGCAGAGTCCTAATCACTGGACTGCCAGGGAATTCCCACCCCTAGTCCATTCTTGAATTCAGCAACTCCTGCCCTTCTTGTTGGGCTTAATGCATATGAGAGAGGAGGGGATATATATAATTATGATCACAGCACTGTCGTAAAGGTAGGAACTTTGCTACGGAAACAGGTGAGAGCTGCTAACCAGGAGAGGTGGGGAAGACACCTTTTTTTAATTACATTTTTTAAACTTTTTATTTTATATTGGAGTATAGCCGATTAACAATGCTGTGATAGTTTCAGGTGCACAGCAAAGCGACTCAGCCATACATATACATGTATCCATTCTCCCCCAGATTCCCCTCCCATCCAAGCTGCCTCATGACACTGAGCAGAGTTCCTTGTGCTATACAGTAGGTCTTGTTTGTTATCTTTTTTAAATATAGCAGTGTGTACATGTCAATCCCAAACTCCCTAACTATCCCTTCCCTCCACCCTTCCTCCCCCAACCCCAGTAACCATAAGTTCATTGGAGAAGACACTTCTGAGGTGACATTTCACCAGGTGGGCAGGGTGGACCAGAAGCTGAGGGAAGTTACATGATAAAAGCTCAGAGGAGTGGGGTATGTATGAGATGATCCAAAAGGCCTTCCTAATTCAGATGAACTCTTACTAGCCTTGATGGCTGAATTTTCTTCTAGCCACTAGAGCACTGCATTTTCACTCAAATTTTAATACATCCCTTCAAAACTGTGATACCCTTTCTAGGAGGGCAAAGGCAGGAAGCTGTTATCATTGCTTAGGCTTGTTCATAGCCCAATCTAGCCTGTGGGTGTGGGTCCCAGAATAGAGAAAAGAACTTTTCATAAGAGCAGCCAAGTATCTGGAATCTGAGGTTGCCTATGTGGAGTGTTCTAGTGAATGTCCCAGAAAACCAGAGGCCTGGAAATCAGGAAACTGATTCATTAGGGAGGGAAATGAGCAGTTTCCCAGAGGGGCTGTGACTCAATGAGGACCACTCACATATTCATTCATTAACTATTTGTTGAGGGTATACTAGAACTGGGGACCATGTTGTATGCTGAGAATATGACTGATTCTCAGAGAAGAGAATGGTCCCCACCCTTATGGAGCTTAACTGGAAGAGACTTAGGTGAACTAGCAAAGCCATTGGAAATGCCAGGATGAAAAGAGCTAAAAATTTGGAGGCACTACTGGTTTGTGTTCACAGAAGAAACTCTTTGTATATTTACTGTGTTGCTTCTTTAGGCTCTCCACAGAGCCAGCCGGTGAGACTGTGGTATGCTCTTACATTTGAAAAAGTGCTTTCAAATTGCTACTTTCCTAGAAACATCTCAGTTTGCCACTAATCCCAGGCACACCTGTGGGAATGCTAGAATGCGTTGATGGCAACATCCACAGGCTTTTCCTTAAATGTTAGCAAATATATACTAATTTTTTTCAATACTTTTAAATACTCTGAACAATGCTGAAGAGATAAGTGGATGAGCATGGAAAACATCATAATGAAGGGAAAGAGACAAGAACTTCAAAGTTCATATGCCTTGAGTTCTTGATATCTCAAGATTATATCCAAGAGATGTCGATGGCTTTTTAATGGGATCCTTGGCGTCCTAGAGGGTCAGGGGATACCCTGCCGGGTGGTCCAATGATCTCCTGATGTTGTATGGAAAAATGTAGGTTTGGGCCCATAGCTCTCATAAGATTCTCAAAGGGACCCCGGAAAGTCAAGAATACTTCTATAAATCCTTTGAAAATACTTCCATGAGTGCTTTCTATGAGAATATTCATGGATTTTAAGTTCACACAATTGTTCCAGAATGTGAGGAGTGCAGCAGAACCCCAGGGAAATGGAATTGGAGGCCAGGTCCCCTTATTACCAGCTATGTGACCTTGCACAAGTCTCGGCCCCATTTGAGCCTCAGTTTACTTATCTGTTAAATGGGGAAAAGAGCACGTTTACTTCTTACTTCCTACAGTTTTTGTGGCAAATGATCAGACGTATGTGAATAATGCTGTAGAAACCTCCAGGTACTATATCTAAGAGTGAGAGGCTTTAGAAAATGTTTACTCTCTGCACCTGTAGGCAGTGTTATATTGTTGGTCACTAGAGGGAGCTTTAGGATTCAGGGGAAAGAAGAGCCAGTGATGTAGCTCCTGGAAAGCCTTGAGGCCTCTATGAGGAATTCTTCAGAAAGCTTTTGCCTTTTATAAATAGCCACTTAGATTTTTCCTTCTTTCTTTTCTTTTTTAAAATTCAGATAAATGCCTATAAAAGCAAACATGACCTCGTTTTCTGGTGACACAGATTTTTCTACTCTTAACATTTAGGATTCTTCCTTCTGACTTTTTCTCTGGTAAATTTAGTTTCTACATAAACATAAGAGTTTTCCACAATCAATTTAAAAGTGAAAAAAAAAAGGCAGAAAACAACTTTCGAGAGGGCCATAGGAAGAAAGTGCTCTTCCCTTAGCGAAAGATGACTCATTGCTCATTCCGTGACATGTGGCAATGGTGAGCAGGATAGGGAAATGCATTGTCTAACTTTGGCGCGCATTAAGACCTCTGACTTTGGATTTTCTGGTGGCACTCCCTGCTGTTTTTTGGTTTGTTTTTTTTTTTTTTTCAGTACGCGGGCCTCTCACTGTTGTGGCCTCTCCCATTGCGGAGCACAGGCTCCGGACGCGCAGGCTCAGCGGCCGTGGCTCACGGGCCCAGCCGCTCCGCGGCATGTGGGATCTTCTCAGACCGGGGCACGATCCCTTGTCCCCTGAATCGGCAGGCGGACTCTCAACCACTGCGCCACCAGGGAAGCCCCCACCCGCCCCCCTGCTGTTTTTAATTGGTGTGCATTTCTCAGGCCAGGGCTAGAGAGAGAGGACTCTTACTCATTTAAAGAGGCTTGACGGTTACACCAGAAAACCTAGGATAATTTGAAGGAGGAGGTATGATAGAGTGAAAGACACTGACTTTGCATGTTAGGGAATCAGAATGTCATGGACTCACTATGTATTTGCGGGACAATTTTTGTCCCCTTTTAGGACTGCAGTTTCTCTCTCTGCTTCTGACCATCCCCCCAGCACCACACATACACACCCATGGTTGGATGGTCTTTCTTCATCAAGAATGGATCATTAGGTGACCAGACTCAGGCCCCAGGTCAGGAAAGGCAAAGTTTTGCAGGAGCACAAAACTGAGACTTACCTGATTTTCAATCCAAATTTCTTTGGAGAAAGGAGTCTTGATATGTCTCTTCCTTGCAGTTCTTTGGGTTGTATTTCAGTTCCACAGCAAAATAGATGCCTGTAGAGAACAGTGAACACTGTATTTTCATATACATTTTCAGGGACCCATGCAGAGACTGAAGTGCTAATATCCATCAGCAAACCCGGGCAATGAAGCTGTCAAGCGCTGGTCTGCCAAGTTCCCTGGACTCTAAGATGTGTCCCCACAATGCTGCCTTCCTCAATTTCACATTTTAAAAATGGAGACATGTCTGTGACTTATACAGGCAAGTCTTGATAATCCCTCCTGAAAAGCTCCTGTTAGGCCTAAGGCGTTTCTGCAATCAGTGGCCTTTTAGAATTGAGGAAGGAGTCTAGGAAATCCTTTTTTGGTTTTGTATATTTCTCTTACCTGGAAGCTCAAAAAGCTCCCCTCCGCTGGCACATCTGCGCTCTCCTTGCAACTCTTGGCACCTCAGAAGTAACCTCACGGGAAGGGGTTACCTCTCTGACGACAGACAGGCAAGAGACTGCAGGTTATAAAGGGTGAAGCCTTATTATAGGCTCATTCATTGTAGTTTATGAGAAACAGCTGCATTTCCTTGTCAAGGCACTTGTGGAAGGCTTTTCTCTCCTTTCCACTGAAGTCTAATCACTAACCAAGACTAATTAGCTGATTTGGGTCAGAACAAGCCAGTGTCTCTGCCATTCCACTTTAAGCATGACTGTATCCCGTTAGTGATAGGAAATTTGCTGAAACAATGCAAACGGCTTGATCAGTGATTCCATTAATGATTACAATCGGAGTAATTTTCTCCCCTTTTTGTTTTCCAGAGGCTGTTTTTTCTTCTTCAAGCTTTCAGATGGTGAAGGTCAGAAGGTTGGCAACAGAATCACTGTTCCCTAGTTGAGGGCTTCTCAAATTTTCAGGGCAATACAAATCACCTGGACCGTGTTACAACGCAGATTCTGATTCAGCAGATCTGGAGGTTGGGGTGAGGCGAGGAGAAGCTGACGATACCAAGGCTGCTGGTCTGTGGACCACGCTGAGTAACAAGGCCCTAGTTAATTTTTATCTCTAGCTCCTGTTTCACGCTGATGAAGGATGCTTTTTCTACTTCTCAGACACTGTCAGAAATAAAGAATGAATAAGTAATGATTTCAAAGCCCAAGGGAAATCGTGAGGTCACAGATTCCATCTCCTGAATTAACAATTGTTTGGAAAGCCATGACTTTGAATTCTAATTTCTTGCAAAGCAAAATATTGAGAATAGACCCGTAGTGTGCACAAACACAGAAAACAGAATCCAAGCGATCTGATTTTTCCCATGAGATGGCAAAGCAACTGTTTATTTGAGGTTATTGTTTTTTTATTGGCAAGCATTATGCTCTGTACTTCATTTACATAGGAATCTGGTGGGCGCTGCCTAAGAGTTTGTGAACTAATTTCTCTGGCTCTAAATCATATGTGTACTTCATCTTTATCCTCACTACCAGGAGCCCAGTCTAATTATTGCTTATGCAAAGGGATGACTCTTCTTCAGGTGTGAAGGAATTTCAGGTTTGTCTTGAATATTCTCAGGAGAGCTGCTTTTAGGAATTGCTGTCCTGAGTTTTTAGACCTTCAGTTTGGCTTATCGCGTATTGCTTTGGATCTGTTATAATTTCCACAGTTTCTGTCTTCTTGGTTAAACTGTAAGTTTGTTATAATTGGAGGCCATGCCTTCTATTTTATAGGGCTGGGAAATTGGAAGGGAACTTTAAATTCATTGAGTCCAGTTTCCTCTTTAAAATCTGAATTTCTACAAGCCAGCCTCTGCTTGAAACACATTTAATGATGGGGATCTTACTACTTTATAGTCTACCCTTAGAACGTTGCTGACCGTTAGGATGCCTTTCCTGATATTGGGTCAAGTCATCTCACAGTGGCTTTTGCCCACTAGCCCAGTTTTACTCATTGTGGATAATTTCTTTGTCTTGAACAGAATATGAACACAATACATATTGTTGGCCAACTGACTTGTTAAGGCCTGGGACTTGGGGGTTCTCTGTGCCTTCAGTAGTTCTTCCTGCATAAGAGTAGCCTCCAACTCCTGACTTGAGGAGTAAACTTGGGGCAAGGTCCAGAGCTGCACCGCCAGAGATTGGTTGGGCTGTGGTAAAGCAGGGCAGTCACTGCTTATAAGGACTTTAGCCCACTTCATTACAGGAGCTTAAGATTTCCTGCATTTCTTTCTTAAATGCAGCCTGACTTAAGCCTGAAATGAAACGCAGGATGAGGCTTCATGATTACTCATGAATTTTTACACAATCAGACCATTCAACAGGAATCTTAGAAATGGCTCTGATTTCCAAAATATTTATCTTTTCTGTAGTTCTCACCTAAAGCAAGGTTTTTAAACTGGCAAAGATGGACTCCAGTCTTCTCTCCCATCCCCCCCTTTCAGCACCATTCTACCCTTTTAATTTTATGCTCCATGGGTGACCTGATCCCCAAGTTTCCCCTATGCAGTATTGTTCTAGGCCTTGGGCCATTGATTACTTTTTTCTGGCCCTTTTCCCTCATGGAACCTTACCTGTCCTCTCTCTGGGTCTCTCAGCAGCTGGTTTTCTCCAATGCGACCCTGGCCGTTTAACGGGGTTTGGTCCCCTTAACAAATCCTTGATAATGTGTAAGATAGCTCTTGCTTTCTCTGCCTGCCTTGGTATCATAATTTCTTAATGCAGTCAAAGACATGTCTCCAAAAGGCCCTTAGGTGGTGGCTTTTTAGTGGGGAGGGACAGGAATCATGATAAGATCATGGATGAGAAATTGTTTTGGTCTGTGGACTCCCTAGCACAACTTCACATCATCCATCGCCTCACTATGTGGGACTAGCTCTGTTTTCCATAAACAATAATAACAATAGCTCTTATTGCATGGGATGACTAATTATAGTTACTTACTATGTTCCAGGCACTGTGCCTACGGTTTAACAGATTTCTCATTTAATGTTCATAACAACCTTGTGATGTAGGAAGAATTATTTTCATTCTATTGATGAGCAAACTGAAGTTCAGAGGGGTTAGGCGATTTGCCTAGCATCACACAGCTACTGCATGGCAGAGATAGGGTTCAAACCGAGGTCTGTGTGACTGAGGCCCATGCTCTTAACCATGCAGCTTCCTTTTTTCTGATCAACTAACAGAGAAGAAGCCTAAGATTAGTGAGTTTCCTCAGACAAGCCCTGCTGTGCTCACCTCGACTGTAGCCTTTCTACTTCACCTAAGTGCGAAAAAACTACCGCTTTGCTCATCTCTATCTTCTCGGCTCTCACTCCTCACTTTCCTATGCTGAGAAAAGCTTCTTCTCGCTCCTGCGTGCACAAGAGTAATAAGTATTTGATATTTAATTACAAGGATTTATTATGGAACGAAAGGAGGGATACTAACACATCCCATCTGGGGCCAATTAAAAAGAACTGTGTTCCTGAGTATATGTGGTTTTTCTTTTTTCAGACGAGGAACAGTTCCAGTCAAGCTTTGGCACATGAAGCTTGGCATGGTTTAATAAGAGTCGGGTGACTGAGACATCTAATGCTATTTCTGAGAAAGCAAGATGGTGCATCACCTTTAATGAGTGGGAAATGAAGTTGCCTACAGGGTCAGCCATGGGCAGTTGAATTTATACCTGTGCCTGGGTTTGTTACATTTGTTAAAGAAGCGCATCCACGTGAAAGTCGCATTTTGGAACAAAGAGAATAGAAAGTTGCCAAAATGCTGCTTTCAGGATAAGTGCATCAGTCTGCGAAAACTCCCAGGGTTTCCGAGAGTGGCCACCCACAGAGGAAGCACCATCTGGTTGTCATGCTGTCACAACAGGGGAGAGCAATGCTTGGGCACAGGGCAAAACAGAACCTTCCTCAGAACTGGACAGAAGACTCGTAGTTAGACTGAAGCCAGGGGGCAGCAGACCTCCCCAGGCCCAGCACAACACTGCGCTGAGAAAGGTCATAGACCCTAGGTGCATCCATACTTGTTCTGTGACACCTTAGCGATTTCGAAACAGACTTAACATATAAATCAGAAAAATATGCGTCTCTAGAGAAATTGTTGCATGTTTTCGGGACATGAGGAGAATAAATTTTTTAAGAATAATAAAGAAACATCTACATCCTTGGAAATATATTTAGCTGAGGTCCTGATCTCCATGAAAAACACTTTCCAGTCATTCATTCATTCATTCATTCACTCATCAAATGTTTACCAAGTGTCTCCTACATGCCAGGACCTGTGCTACGTGCTTGAGATACAGAAAGGAACAGGAGACTGTCTTGACAATCAGGAAGCTCAGAGACCAGTAGGAGAGACTCATAGAATGAAATAACTGTGGTTCAGCATGCTTACAGGAACCCTGGGAGGGTCACTGAACTACCCTGCAGGCGACCACGGACACCTCCTGGGGGAGGCATCACCTGAGCTGGGTCTTACTGCACAGTCAGGAGTTATCCTCCAGAAATCTATATTTGAATAATATTCCTTTGCCATTCTAACATGAGAAGGGATGAAAAGGCTAAGTAGATGTTGTGTTGGGGGAAGAAGATGAAGGGGTGTTAAGTAAAGAATAGCAATTTCAACATTCAAATTGGAATGTTGGAGAGAGAGTGCAGGCCTTTGCAGGCTCTAGCTTCGGATGACTAAGGTTGGGATCTCAACCACTTCCTAGGTGTGGGGACCTGAGCAACTTGCTTAGCATCCTAAGGTCCTGTTGCTCATAGGGTTTCCAGGTTTCAATGAGAGAACATGTGTAAAGCATTTGCTAGGTCTGGCTTATTTAAATGTTAATAAATGTCAATTCATTATGAATTCTGTTATTATTATCAGCGGTGTTCTTTCACTGATCACCCTTCTAAGCTCCCTGAATCTCCTATTCCTGATATTGCCTCCAGGGAAAAATACAGGGACAGGGAAACATAAAACAAAGAGAAAAAAATTAGGGTGTGAGAGTGATTATCATCCTCTTGTTCAGAGTTGGTAAAATAAAAAATCCTCCAAAGAACAGGAACATTATGCTCTTTCTCCATCCTATCACAAATCTTGCTTTCAGCCCACTGACCTTAGATAGGCAAAAGTGTTAGTGACACACAGTTATAAAATATAATTAAGACAACATCTAGTGCTGCTGGTACTAGATAACCTAAAATCCTACTAATGGAAAACTCCTTTTAAAAGTGCTAGTTGCAGTAAATAAAGTCCCCGGGGCAAAAAAAAAAAAAAAAAGGTGGGGGGGCTATGAAAACCAAAGGAGAAAGATTATGGGCTGATGCTGCGGCTACATATAGGGATGGGAGATTGGGCTGTGGTGGACCTGCCTGAGCTGAAGAGGTAGAACTTATCCCCCTTCCTAAAGATGGAACTGTTGGAGAGTTATACCATCACTAACGGGAGACTAGAAAAAAATCTACCCTCAGTACAGCAAGATGACAAGGAAGAGAGGCCTATCTCACATGGGGTTAGAGCTTGAATTTATCAATGTGTGTGATCCTAGAATAGCCTGCCACACCTGCCTAGCTTAGAAATCATTATAAAAAGTGCCCTCAGCCCAATGATATCCCAGGCA